AGAGGGAGGGAGAGAGAGAGAGAAAGAGAGAGAGAGAGAGAGAGAGAGAGAGAGAGAAGATGATCTGATATCCCTACCAGAGGAGCCGCCCTTCTTCTAGCTGACAATGGCTTCTGGCAAAAAGGCAGGCGGTCACTCATCAACCTCCCTAAGAGAGAGAGAGAGAGAGAGAGAGAGAGATCTGATATCCCTACCAGAGGAGCCGCCCTTCTTCTAGCTGACAATGGCTTCTGGCAAAAAGGCAGGCGGTCACTCATCCCGAACCTCCCTAAAGACGCCGGTATGTCCACGTCAGCTACAGCCAGAGCAGACCCCAGGGGGTGACCACCCAAAGAGCAGCAGTGGGTTAGACAGCGCCCCTGGCTCCCGGCACTCCATGGCCATCCTGCCATCAAATTGTCACAGGTGTGAGCTCCCACCTTATAGATGATACACCAAGAGGAGAAGACCCATTGGCTACCAACACCACATGAGTGTTAGCATGAGAACTGCGCCCTGGAGGCCTGAGACCACCCACTCCAGGCTATTCCTGAACGTGGCTTACGCGCACTCTGCTGGAATCCCGTGTTTCCGAGGCTAGTGAAGGGCCCTCGGGTGGTTTTCAAGATGACGCTGAGGGCGCACAGACAAAGATGAGATGATTTATCCCAATAATTCTAATTATTTGTACACGAAGCTTCTGTTTAGGACCCAGGATGCTGGTTCCCCATTTTTTGGTCACAACGTGAGGTTTTCTTTTTAAATATGTTTACAAAAATGTCTATTTGGGAAGCTGCTAAGCAAATAATAATGCAGATGGGATGCCAACCTGTCAGAAAGCACAGAGGTCACTGGCAGACACTGTGAAGGAGCAGAGTCTGTGAGAAGCTGGGCGAGAGGGACAGGAAGCTGGGGTTGCAGGAATCTGGCCTCTACGTCCTGCTGGCACCGGTTCACGGGAGGCCTCAGGCGACCCTGGGATCTCTGGGCCTCGGTTTCCCCATGTGGCGCACGAAAGAGCATTCGGGACCATTCCTGAGGTCCCTCCCAGCTCTGACACCACGACCAGCTCCACAGCAAACTGGGTGCTGAGAAGCCTTGTGGTTTCACTCACGGCGATTTCCCACTCAGAGCTTCCTCCCAGCAGCTGGGTCTCCCTGCAGGCAGGACAGGGCAGGGCAGGGTGGCAGGAGGGGCGGCCTCTCCCGCCCTCACAGGACCCCCACCCCCACCCCACCTATTTCCCTCTTGGCATCACCCCAGTAATAACCACAAAAGAGTAAAGTCCTCTGGCCTCACGTGCCACGTTAAGGGCTCCATGGTGTGGCTGGTGGAGGTTGCCTGGCACACCCAGGGAGCTCCTGAAAATGCCGCATGGCAGGCCTGGCACCCAAGACTCTGACTGTAGGTCCAGGATGGTGCCCAGGAACCCCAGTTCTAACCAGCTCTCCCAAAAGTGGTCCAAGGATGCAAGTAGCCCAAAGACCACTCTTTGGGGAGGCTGAGGCCCAGGGAGGCAGAGTGGCTGGTTCTGAGCTGCAGAACCAATACCTACAGGAGCCGGGGCCTGGCCAGTCATCCAGGCCGAGGACCGTGCTCCGCTCCCCCGTGTCTCCTGCCAGCAGCCAGGGTGCATCCTCCCCACATCTTTCCACGCTCACAGGAACCCTCCTCATCTAAGGCTTGGACCCTCCCAGGTCTCGAGCCAATGGAAAATTCCAAGAGGGTCTCCCAACTTAAGAGGATGCTGAGGCCAGCTGACCGCTCCCTCCTTCTGAGAGGCCAGCTCCCTGGAGGCCTAGGGTGTGTTTCATGGCTCATTAATGACTCTGCCCTTAGGCTCTCATGAGAGCAGACAGCAGCAGGGCTAAAGGATGCAGAGCTAAAAGCCTGTACTTCCCCCAGAATAAGTGTGGTTTCTCTCTCTCTCTCTCTCTCTCTCTCTCTCTCTCTCTCTCTCCTTATCTCAGTCCCTGACACCAGTCACAACCTACCATGGCCATGGGGACATTCCTACAGGTCTGGGGGACCTGAAGGCTGGTTCTAGAATTCAGAAGCCGACTCCTTCTTAGGCCCTGTTAGGAGTACAGGGCAGTACAATGCTGGACTCCTGCCTGCAAAAAAACAAACATTGTATTCTTGTAGGATCCCCCAAAAAGAAGAGCTGAAGGGAGGGTTTAAGCCCAAGTGCTGAAGGCAGTGACCACTGTGCAAAACTGAACTTCGATCCTTTGGGAAAGGGAGCAAATATACTCCTTGGAATTATGTGGGCTTTGCAGCCTAGAAAGTCATCCCCTGGCAGTAGCAAGTGGTTCTGGAGCACACAAAGGTCTGAGGGAAGCAAGCAGGGCGCTGACAACATTACTATGGTAACAGGCCCCCAGCGCGTCAGAGCTAGGAGAAAGCCGAGTGGACGGCAGAGGCTTTAGCATCGGCTATAATTTAAATTCGATGTATTCATCATATGCTTCATCCAGGCATGCAACGAGCTACTGAATGGCGGCTGGGTGGCCGGCTTATCTATTGCTGCACACACGAAAATTGTCCCCAAACTTGGTGGCTTCACATAACCATGAACACTTACTCTGTCACTCACATTCTGTGGGTCGGGAATCTGGGAATGACTTAACTGGGCGGCCTGGCTCAGGGTCCCTGTGAGATTGCAAGAAGGGTGTCGCTTGCTGTCACCCGAAGGCTGGACTGGAATAAAGGATCTGTTCCCACGGTGGCTGGCGCTCATGGCTGGTGAGTGGCACCAACCGTTGGAGGAGGCCTCAGTTTCTCCCCAGGCAGGGCTCTCCACATGCTGCTTGAGTGTCCTCCCAAAATGGGGGTGGCATCGCTCAGAGCGAGCAATCCAAGAGGGAGGGAGCCAAGTGGGAGCTGCCACTTCCAAAGGCCCGTCTGTTAGGGGCGCCACTAAGGTGGGCCCACATTAAAGGAGACAAGAATGCAAAGGGTCTTATCTTAAAGCCACCACAGGTATCAGCTGGGAGTGGGGATGCTGCGGAGAGCAGAGCGCAAGCACAGCCCTGCCTCGTCCAGCAGGAGACAAATGGCCATCCAATAGTCACGAGGAAAGCGCAATGCCGGTGGCAATAGTGCTGGGAGGGGTGACACAGCACCCTAATGGCCTGTTCTACGGGAGGTTTGGTCCCTCGAGGAGGCCAGGGGAGGTTTCCCAGAGGAGGTCGTGGTTGCTGCTGTGGGCACAAGGGAACTACAGGAAGTCCCTGACCGACTGGAGAGAAGAGGTCAGTGCGGGTCTGCCCTGGAAGACTCCTGCCCTGTACCCCACCCACCCGCCATGTCCAGGAGGTGTTCCCGGCCCACAGGAGGGCTCCCAGGGGTGCCCTGGATCCCCTCCCTGCCGAGCCCGCAGCCTCAGAAAGACAAGGACAGGCCCTTGCAGAGACTTCGCCCGTGCAAAGCCCCCAGGGCCTGTAGCTGAGCAGCCAGGGCCCATTAGCAGACCCTAGAGAAGGAGCAATCAGGGGAGGGAGCCGAGCGTGGAGAAACATCGGTTTATAATTAGGTGGCCTAATCACCTGTGTAAATTGTGTATTTCTTATGATCGATGTGCTAAACGGCTCAGGTTTAATTAAGTTCTGCTGACTCGTTCTCTGTGAAGACCCACCGGAGTGTGATTCACAGCTTGCACAATTAATAACGGGGAGAGGAGCAACCTGGAAGGGGGGCAGTTTCCCCGCAACTTTCCTCACCTCTCCCCCGCCCCCGCTCCCCCTCCCCCCGCCTGGTGCCCTCCAGGGTGCCCTCGGCCAGCTTAGCCGGTGTGCTGCACTGTGGCCACCAGCTCCTGGGCCTGAGATGCCGGGCCTAGACCGGAACTCAAGGGTTTTCTCCTCCCAATCCAGTTCCCCTTCCACGGCTCGGAAAATGGGGCCCACCACCCACATCGTCCTCTCTGACTGGGCCCAGTGGATCCCAGCCCTTCCTGGGGATTGAGAACCTTGCCCAGTGCATGGGCGCCCCATCCATGAGCTTGTCTTCCCAACCTCTTGTTCACTGAGGTCCAAAATTCTACGGGCTGAGCTCTGTGCGCTATCTTTTCTCTGTTCCCTATTCCATTTGTGCTCTTCTGCCTTCTCTCCCCTGCTTCCTCTTTTTCATACCCACTGCGGTCTGTAACCTAAAGCCAACAGCAAGGTCACTAACACACCTTGGCCCCTCCCCCTTCCATCCAGAGGAGAGGAAGAGCAAGCGGAGGGTCCGAACCACCTTCACCACAGAGCAGCTGCATGAGCTGGAGAAGCTCTTCCGCTTCACCCACTACCCAGACATCCACGCCCGCAACCAGCTGGCAGCCAGGATCAACCTCCCAGAAGCTCGGGTGCAGGTACAACCCTCCCGCTCTAGCCCCACCTCAATACACTGGGTGAGACACTATGGATCCCGGACCTCCGGCCTGCCCCGTCTGAAACTTGGCATTGGCTTTGTCCCACAAATACAGTCATATCTGCTAAACATTACATTCCAGGAAAGGAGGTCCCCATAGTTATCAGATGATTTCTCTCCTTGGAGGGTGAAAATGGAGTGAGGTGGCATTGCTGACGGCCATCGATAGATGCTCCCATTCCCTGCCTCTCCACTTGGCTACAGTTTCAGAACCTCATCCACTATGCAGCCTCATTCACAAAATACCTCTTGACAATCTAGACCGGGGTCAACACACGTTTTCTGTAAAGGGCCAGGTGGTCATTATGTTGAGTCTCGGGGGCCATCAGATCACTGTCACAGCTATTCAACCCTGCCATTGTAGCATAAGAGCAGCCACAGACCATACACAAATAATTGAGCATGGCAGTGTTCCAATAAAACTTTATCGATAAACACTAACATGTGAATTTTGTATAATTTGCATGTGTCACAAAATATTCTTCTTCTGTGGATTGTTTGCAGCCATTTAAAAATGTGAGAACTATTCTTAACTCATGGGTAGGCCATGCACAAACAGCTGGCGGGCCAGCGTTAGCCGACAAGCCTTAGTTTTCCAGCCCCTGATCTGGACCACATGGTTATCATCACTTTGGCAGCAGAGAAATATAGAGGACCCTGGACCCAAGGTCTGAGGCCTGGTTCAAACATCGACTGCCTGATCCGAAACTTTCCACAGGCTTCTCCCTCCTCCTTGTAATCCTCATGCAATTTCTTCACCCCTGAGTGTCTATGGCTTTTTCCATGGTTTGGGGATATAATAGCCCCTTGTCACTCACCAGGCATACATCCTGCCCTCCTGGCACATCCCCAGTTTTGCAAGCGCCATTCTAGCAAACCCAAATCCAATGGTTGCACTGTTGGCATGCTCTCCAATGGTTTTCTAAATCACTCTCTTTTTTTTCTTTTTTCTTTTTTTAACAAACCTGATGGGCTCATTTGAATTCAAAATCTCAGTGAGGGCCCAGGACAACATTCTACTCTTTATCTTATCCCAACCTACTTTTCTTCTGGCTAAGGATGCCCCTGCTTCGGACTTCTCCCCTTTTTCTTTCCATTAGAAATCTGTCACCAGCTATGTTGGTAGCCCCAGCTAAGTGGCTCAAAATTTAGCGGCGTCTCAGCAGAATGACCCAGTACAAATGGCCACGTGTCAGGGACAATCAGGATGCTCATGAATACAGGAAATGGCCAATGTTCCTGCAGATGCCCAGGGGCCCACAGGAGTTGCAAACTGGTGGCCTGCCAGCAGGAAACAGCCCACTGGTGGGTTTTATTTGGTCTGCACAGTATTTTAAAGCTCAGAACTCTCACAGAAAAATCCAGATTTCTGTCTTAGAAATTGGATGAGCCTGCAAGGCTGGGCTCACATTTCACGTGGTGGCTGGTGGCTGTTTGGCTGAAGCTGAGAGACTGCCCCCTTAGGCTTGGGGGCCATGGACCCCACCCCTCCTGATTACGGGGCACCCAGCTGCTGCCCTCCTAAGTGATCGGGCCCTGCAGGTGTTGGAGGCTGTGGTCCCCTAACCCCTCTCAGAAGGCTGACCTCCAGAGCCAGAGAAATCCTGGATGCCGTGAGCTTTCTAAACAGCAAAGTCTCTCGGGAGGCGTGGTTATTAGGCATGTTGGGGGAGACACTAGATGGAGAAAATACCCTTTGCTTACCTCCATTCTCTCTCTCTCTCTCTCTCTCTCTCTCTCTCTCTCTCTCTTTCTCTCTCTTTCTCTCTCCTCAGATCTGGTTCCAGAATCAGCGAGCCAAATGGCGGAAGCAGGAGAAAATGGGCAACCTTGAGGTCCCGCAGCAGCCAAGTGAGGCGGACGTGGCCCCAGCCACACAGCTGGATGTGGCCGTGAGTGGCTGGGGACCCACGGTCTGGGAACATCCCCTCCAGACCCACACGGGAGGAAACACCTCAGGGGAATTTTTTTAGAAAGAGCATGGGATGTTCTGGAAGTCTGTGGGACCTGGGACAAATCACGACCACTCTCTGTCCCCGTGTCCTCACCCCCTGAGTGGCCATCACAGGCTTCTCCCTCCTCCTTGATTCCTTGTGTAAAACATCAGTTTACAGAATTGGGTCATGGCTTAAAGGGCGGTACCCAGGGGTGAACCCTGGAGTCCGACTGCCTGGGTTCGGGTCCCAGCTCTGCCCTCAGCAGCAGGGTGGCCGGGAAGAGTCACGCACCCCTCCGAGGTCAATATAGTTTTGATGAGGATGAGAGTATTGGCCTCCCATTGAGACATCTATTTGTGTACCAGATGCTAACCTCTGGGGAGGCAGCACTACGTGGAATAGACAGTCCTGGGGCGAAAGTTTTGTGCAGCCCCGCAGTGATGCTAGGAGGCAGGGTTTTTTTTAATATATTTTTTTATTGATTTCAGAGAGGAAGGGAGAGAGAGATAGAAACATCAATGATGAGAGAGAAGCATTAATCGGCTGCCTTCTGCACTCCCCACCCTGGGGAATGAGCCCGCAACCCGAGCATGTGCCCTGACTGGGAATTGAACCGTGATCTCCTGGTTCATAGGTCAATGCTCAGCCAGCTAAGTGGCCAGCTGGGCAGGATTTTTTATTTATCCTTGTTTTCCCGCTAACACAGAAACTGGGCTCTGAGAAGCAAAGTGACTTTTCCACGTCCAGCAATTGCTGTGAATGGTGGAATAAGGGCCAGGCTTCCTGGCCCCCTCCCCACCCCTCACCCCACCCCCGTGCATACATTTCTCCCCAGGTTGGTCCCCTACCCGCCCCCCCTGCCCACGTCGTGGGGGAAGGTTGGGGAGCTCCAGGGCAGCCCAGGGTAAAGCCGAGGACTCACGGCCCTCCTGACCTCTCCTGTGACAGGGCCCCCTGCTGCCGCCCCCTGCGCTGTCCAGGCTGGTGCCTCCCCCGGGGTGTTATCCACCGGATCAAGGTCAGCTGGCCTCTGCCTGGTTTCCTGCTGGAATCACTCTCCTCCCACACCACCCATGGGAGACACCACCTCTCCCGGGCCCTGTCATCCTGCAGACCTGCGTCCCCGCCCTCTGCTTCCTTCCACCTCCACACCCCAGATGGGGCAGCATCTGCGCCACCTCCACATAGGGACCCGATGGACATCCTCTCCCCCGTGGGGCCACGCTCCTCCCCAGGTGACGACAAGTGGCAGGGAGGGGCCCAGGCGTCTGGGGGAGTCAACCTCCTGATCCAGAGACGGCCCACATCCCAGGAAGCCACCCCCGCATGCCCCTGGGAAGGCTGCAGCAGGCTCAGCAGCAAGGTGGCCCTCCTGGCTCAACGACAGAGGCGTTCAGACCTCAGGGGGAGCTCTGGAACCTGGAGGTCATTGTCTTGCACCTGTGCTTCCTCCAACATGCTGTGTGACCTCCAGCCAGTCACTTACCCTCTCTGGACCTCATCTGTAACAGGAAGCAGCTGGACAAGATGACTTCTGAGGGCCTCTGGCCTTTACCCTGGTGAGGTGAACCATGGTGAGAACAGAGGCATGGAGGGGGCCAGTGAGAGGTTGTTGGCTCTTTCATTCATGACACACGTATTGAGCACCTACTGAGTGCTCCATGCATGGAACTGGATATTGACATGAGCAACCGAGGCTCTGCCCCTCTGAGCTCAATCCAGGTTGTTCGAAGGGACAGCGCTGACCTTCTCCGGCAGGTACAACCTTCGCCAGTGACCTTGCTGTTGGCCCATGTCTATCACATTCTGTGTGGCTTTGATGTGAATATCTTAAAGAAAGAGAAATATAGGGAAAAGCTTTTTAATTTTAAACAGAACTTCGTGTCTTTGGTTATTCTATTGAGTTGGGGAGAGATGTTGCCATTTCTGATCCAAATGAAGAGTAAGACAGCAAGATCTTTGTAGAGTTTATTTCCCGGGACTTTGCCAGGGGCCCAGCTGCAAGACCAGCCTCACCCTGCCCTGAAAAGCCTAGCGTTGCATTGGGCTCTGCTGTTTCCTTGCAGTGTGACCTTGAGCTGGACACATGCCCTGTCTGGGCCTCAGTTTTGACATCTATAAATTGGCCTGCCCACCTGGCCTGCCTCACAGGGCCTTCGGGCAGGGTCTGGAAGGAGGTGAAAGTGCTTTTACGAAGTGTGAGGCAGGACCCATTGCGGAGTGATGTTGTTGTCCCAGATCCCACCAGGAAAGTGGCTGCTATGGGTTCCAGCCCTGGGACAAGTCACACCTGCTCACAGGGAGGCCGTGCACTGAGCCTCCCTTCCGCATGAGTATTGCTGACACGTGTCCTTCTGGGGGCGGACAGGGCCTGCTCCCCTGAGCTGGGCAGGCTGGCCTGACCTCTACGGGCAACCCTAGCAATTCTAGGATCCTTCCCCAAGTCCCAGCACCTCTGCAATCTGCCTGGATCCCAGCCAGGAGTTGGACTGGGAATCAGGAAGGCTAGGTCTCCGTCCTGCATGCTCTCTAATCTGCTGTATGACCTTGCCATTCAATCTCTTTGGCCTCAGCTTTCTCATCTATACATTGCGGGCAGCAAGGCTAGCTCTGCTTCAGGCGTGCAATGGGCCAGCACCATAGAGTACAGCCCGCGATGCGAGTGAGCTTTGCAAACTTAGACTCAAAACTCACCCAGAGCCCTGAGTTTATTACTGCCGCCTCACCTCCAGCAAAATCTGCATGGAAGGGGAAGCCTAGGGATTCGGGAAGCAAATGAATCGATTAACAAACAAAGACGGGTAGCTCCTCACTTACTGACTCAGATATCAGGTACCCACTTCATGGCCCTGAACACAAATGTGCAAATGTCATTTTTATCATTTTGCTACAACTGGATTTACTTCCTATGTTGTTGGCAGAAAATTTATTCTAGTAACTTCTGTGTTACTGATTCCTCAAACACTCAGGTGTAAACTCAGTCACATTTGAGCTTAAATGTGCCC